TATGGAAAACACTAAAGATGATAACATAAATACGAGATCTCAGTTTGGTCCACTCTCTGCTCTTATCTCAGAACAAGCAAGTCCTTGGGTCGTGGTTCTGGTGACAAACTGTTCAAGACATGGGTCTTCTCCCTGGAGTCTAGACATAAACCTGAGAACCTGTGTCTCCAGTGCCATCTCTCATCCCTTCCTTGATGAGGCAGAACTTTGTTGGTCTGGCTTCCCGTGGTCCCCTCACCCTTCCGCTGATGACATACTGGTCATTTCTTCTACAATCTGCCCTCTTTTAGCCTAGGTGCTCAAGGTGGGAGCTGTGATCTCATGAGCCAGTCAGTGCATGGCAGTCCCTTAGTTATAGGGACAGGGACACATAGACATCTGGGACAATAAGACCCAATGAAAATTCTACGAAAGCTCTTTGATCCTTCCTGCTCCTGTAACTGTGGGATTAGGAAGTGGGAATTGACATCTTGGGATCAATCTGTGACAATGTATTTAACACAAAATTAGCAGCGCCCAGAAATGAGAGCAACCAGGTCTTTGGAAGGTTCAAGACCCTTCATTGGTGCACAGGTGGGAAAAGGCCCTGATACCTTGGTGTCTAGTACAGACTAGCTGCTGCTTCAGGGATGTTGGACCACAGCTCTTCCAGTGTGTCTTCGATAATTAATTCTTCGGGCCCCGCCATGCTGGGCTTAGAGGACTATATTCAGTGCTTTTTCTGTTGCTGTGAGCAAACACCCTGACAAAGGCATCATGGGGAAGGAAGGACCATTTGGCTCACAGTTTGAGGCACCTACACTCGGGAAGCAGAGACCTGAGACACCTGATGTTTGGCTCCTTGCCTCTCCTTCCCCTTCTCTGCAACCCAGGACCCCCGCACAGAAGCAGTGCTGTTCACTTGTAGGTGAGGATTCCCACTTCAATTAACCTAACCAAGATAATCCCTCACAGGCAAGCCCAGAAGCTCTTCTCTTCAGTGATTCTGCAGCCTGTCAAGATGGCGTCAACCATCACGAAAACACATGGCAGGCTTCACTGTCAACGGGAACAGATTAAGAAGCATCTATGGCATTAGTGATGAGCACTTTCAGGTGTCCAGGGAGGATTACCTGGGGCAGGGTAGAGCCCCCAGGCTATGGGACAGGGGTCCCTACAAAG